GACCATGGCGCCCACTTCTCGTGCCGCACGGAGCTGGACCTGCGAGCCGAAGGCCCGGGGCTGTTCCTGAACACGTCGGCCGCCAGACGACTTCAGACATTCGGTGAGGCGCGGGGGGAGTGGGCTGGCGGGGGCTCCCGGGGAGGAGGGGTCCCCTGGCTATGGGGTGCTGAGAATCAGGTGGTGGAGACTGCAGAGACTCTAGACAGAACATTCTCTGGTGTCAGAAATGGGATGTTCTGGAGATGGGGGTGCCCACGGCCACAGGATCTCCCAAGAAGGTGGTGGCCCTGGCTAAGGGTGTCTTAAGGCTGGTGAGCAAAGTGTGTGGGGCTGCACACCTTCTTGCTGGGAGGCTGAGGCAGGAGGATCTCATGTTCAAGCCCATCCTAGGCAATTTACCAAGGCTGGGAGAATGAAACGCCACAGAAAAGGACTTGGTGAGGTCCCTTCCTCTGTGCTCACGCCCACCCTCTCCCCAGTCCTGCCAGGGACTCCCCCGGAATTTGCCACCCCCCTCGTCCTGGAGGCCGGCACGCGGCAGCCCGTCACCTGCTCTCTGGATGGGCTGTTTCCTGCCTGGGAGGCCCAGGTCCACCTGGCGCTGGGGGACCGGAGGCTGAACGCCACAATCACCAGCGGCACAGACTCCCTGTCCGCCACGGCCTCGCTGGAGGTGACCGCGCAGGAGGAGGGTGACCAGCGGCTGGTGTGTGCAGTCCTGCTGGGCAACAGGAGTCTGGAGTCCTGGAGGAACCTGACCGTCTACAGTAAGACAGGGCGATTTGTGGGCGTGGGTTTGGGGAGAGGGTCACCACAGCCCCGCCCCAGGCTTTCCTGAGGGGCAAAAACCCAGCTACAATTAAGGCGCGGTGGGCGGGGCTTCGATGGGGCGGGGCTTCGATGGGGCGGGGCTCATGTGTCCCCTGCCCCAGGCTTTCAGGAACCCATCGTGACGCTAAACGTGACCGAGGCCTCCGAAGGGGACCTGGTGATGGTGAGCTGCGAGGCTCACCCGGGATCCAACGTGACACTGAGTGGGGCCCAAGCCCAGCCACTGCCCCACAAGGCCCAGCTGCTGCTGAACGCCCGCGCTGGCGATAACGGCCGCATCTTCTCCTGCTTGGCGTCTCTGGAGGTGGCCGGGCAGTTGCTGTACAAGGACCAGGCCCAGGAGCTCACCGTCCTGTGTGAGTAGCATTGTTGAGCCCTGTGCCCTGAGGGCTGGCCCCTAAGGCTCCCGCCGTGGCCTCCGTGGGCCCTGATCTCTGTCCACCCCCTGCTGTTCTCCAGATGGCCCCCGGCTAGATGAGAGCGACTGCCCGGGAAACTGGACCTTTCTGGAGGGCTCCGAGCAGACCCTGAGGTGCCAGGCCTGGGGGAACCCCTTCCCGAAGCTCAGGTGTCACCGCAAAGGCGACAACACTTCCCTACCCATTGGGCACCTGAGGCCTGTCAGGCGGGAGCTTGCGGGAACCTACATGTGCCGGGCCGTGAGCTCGCGCGGGGAGGCCAGCCGGGAGGTGCTGGTCACAGTCCTCTGTGAGTACTGGTGTGGCCAGCCCGTGGAGCCGGGTGGGGACCTTGGCAGTGGGTCCCGCTCAGACCTCACCCTCGCCCCTATCCTCCCGCAGACAACGAGAAAAACATGGTCATTGTTATTGTGCTGTTGGCCCTAGCAGCCATCGTGATCTTGGTGGCCTTCACTGCCTACTTCTATAACCGACAGAGGAAAATCAGTAAGTACCGGCTCCAGAAGGCAGCTGAGAAAGCCTCGAAGCTAAAGGCCCTGGGCGTGCCTGCTCCGGACTGCCCAGATCTGGCCTCCTCACAGCTGCAGCAGGCCTGAGCCGAACAGACTGGTGGACTCGTGTCACTTAGCTACGTGCACTTTCTCAGGTGGCAGGACAGCACGGTGGCCTCGGGATACACACGGCATTCTGGGTTCTGGTGTCTGCTTGTATAGCACCTTAGGGTTGCATACCTCACCCGTGGCGACAGGACTGAGCCAAAAGAAGGACGAAGATTTGGACATGAGCTTGTATGGTGGTGCACTTATGTCATCCCAGCACTTGGGAAGGCTGAGGCAGCAGGATGAATGTGTTTGAGACCCAGCCTGGGCTACACAGTGAGTTCAAAACACTCTAGTCTGGTGGAGCTTTTCCTTGCTACCTCTACTTTCTCCTCTACTACGGCCCTGACCTCCCACTTCCTTCCCCAAGAAAAGCCCACCGTTGGGCCCAACCCTGAGGCTCCAGTTCAAATGTGAGGTTTTTCCTGACCTTCGGTGACTGCAGTGAAAACAAAAAAAAAAAACCTTTTTTTATTTGTACCCAGAATCAAACTCAGGGTCTTGCGTTTGCCGGGAAGGCGCAGTGCCCCTGAGCAAAATCTCCCACCCTCGAATCACACTAGTGAGCCTGAACCACATTTTGAGACCCTGTCTCAAAACAAAAAGACGGGCATCTGAAGAAGGCTATGAAGTCTGGCCTGGACACAGGGACAGTGACAGGGACACAAAGCTGTGGATTTGCAGACCTCCAGCCAGGAAATAGGGAAACTCAATCTCCCTTGCATATGCCAAGGCTCCACAGCCCTAAAAAGGAAGTTGCCTAGCAGATACATGCTGCACTGAAACGCTCATGCCCACATTACCTCTGAAAGATGCCCGTTCTGGTACTGCTGTCTATTGACTGCCCCTACTCTTCCCGGTGATGTATTTTAAATTGGCTATTTAATGAGCACCTTTTAGGAGGGTTAAAATGGTGAACAGTGTGAACACAGGTTCCTGCTCTCACAGAGCAGTCTAATAGTATACATTCAGAGTTGCCAAGTACAGTTGACTGGGGTGTGCACTGAGCAAGGGTGCCTGGAAGAAATATGGAGTGGGTCTAGGATTTCTCTCTATTGGCCAAGCTGCATACTTCTCCAAAGGTGTTTTTTTGAGCACAAAGGCACTCTATGGACATGTTCTGCAACCACTCATAAAAACCTTACCACCACTGGACTGTTAGCCACCACCCCACCGACAGGCATTTCTGCCAGTGTTCACAATGACACTGGGACTGTGCCTGAATGTGGTACCACCCCTTGGCAGTTGAAATCTCTTGGAATGGAAGCCTTGTCCTGGACCAACAAAGCAGCTGTGGCCTCGACCTCCCATGGATTGTGGGCAGGGGTCACATCCGGCGGAGCTCTTCCTAGCTACCTCTACCTCACGTCTACAGCCCTGACCTCCCACTTCCTCCCCCAAGAAAAGCCCGCCGTTGGGCCCAACCCTGAGGCTCCAGTTCAAATCTGGGGCTTTTCCTGAGCTTCGGTGACTGCAAAGAAAACGAAAGATCTGTATAAATAGCAAATAAATGGCATATGGTTGACAATGGTGTCCCGGTGTCATTCTTGGTAGGAGGGAGCAGGGCAGGTGTCCTGCAGGACTCCTGGGCCCTCTCTGGGGGCCCCTGGCCCTCTCCGGGGCGGGTCTGCGGAGGCGGAGCTGCGGGGCCTCCTTATCTCCAGAGCCAGCCCTGGCTAACTGGCGCCAGGCCCCTCCTTGGGGTCTCTTTGCCATGGGGTCTCTGCTTCTCCTGTCGCTGCCCCTCTTACTGGTGGCCGCGTACCCGGTAGGTGCAAGTGCCCGGAGGCGCCACGGTGAGATGCCGCAAAGCCCCAGCCCCAGTTCTCCCGCGCGCTTCGGAGCCTCGGTGCCATTCTGGGTGCGTTTACGTCCGGAGCTGGTGGCAGTGGCCCCGGGGCGCTCGGTGTGGCTGAACTGCAGCACGGGCTGCCCCCTGCCAGCGAACCCCAGCCTTTTCACTCAGCTGCAGCGGCGCCACACGG